GAATGAATACATTTCCCAATCTATAGTTTCTGGAACCCACCTTGATTCCTTTTTTAAAAATCCAAATATTGGGCCTTCTTTCCAATTCTTTGCAACAGCTTCCCTTACCCTCTTAATTCCCTCTCAGCTATCTGAAGATACCCACACAAGGAAGTCCACTTGGAAGCCTGGCCAGTTGGCTCATTTGGTTAGAATGCAGCCTTGTAACAAACACCAAGGTCGAGAGTTTGGATCCCCATACCGGCCAGCTGCCAAAAAAAAAAATTCCACTTGGAACTCTCTCCTCCCCGTCACTCCCATGCAGGAGAAGAGCATTTGGGTGAATTGGCAGTGTTCTTTCTCATTAGCAGTGCTGGCATCTAGTGACCTTAGGACAGTCCCTGGCTACCTAAAGATTGAATGCAAATGTTGGATGTAGGGATGTACTGGTGTTCTCTTTGAGAAATAGACATTAAAGAACATAGTAGAGTGGCTAAGAGCACAAAGTCCACAGCCAGACTGTTTGGTTTTGTCATTTAGGCCGTGTCACTTTGGGCAACCTCATTTTTCCCATCTTTACAGTGGGGATAGAAATAGCAGTCATCTCATGGAGTGATTATGAGGATCAAGGTAATGCCGTACCCACAGGCCTTAACACAATGCCTGACTCAATAAGTGATGGCTTCCACTGTGATGGTTTAAATTTTTAAAAGCTTTGGGAAGTAAAGGCACAAAAGAGGAAATGAAGTCACCATAACCTCATCCCCTAGAAATTACCATTTACAAATGTTGATGTAAATCTCCTGTATTTTCATATGCATCTCTATTATGAACTTCATTCATTTAGCATCTGTGTGATCTTTTCCCCAAGCCTGTAAATACTTTTTTTAAAAGAATCATTTTTCTAACAACGTATGGAGCTCTATGCACTATAATTTAGAGTCCCTGTTTTTGCCTGATTATTTCCATCTTTTTTCCCCCCTGTTAATAAATGTTGTGACGAATCATCTTATCTCCATGCATCTCTTGGGTTGTTTCCTTCAGATAAATTCCTAGAATGGGGGAATTGGTGAGTCGAAGGGCATGTGCATTTTTGAGGCTTCTGATAGATACTGCTGGTCTCCTTGCAGGGAGGTGGTGCCTGCTGACCCTCCCTCCAGCAGAGCAGGGGACCACCCTTGCCTACTGGGTGATGTCTCTGGTGATGCCCCGTGGGTTATTCATGGAGGCAACAGTTTCTTGCTGTCTCTATTCTCTGTTTTTCTTTCCTTCCCCTTGTTTCCCTTCTTGGTTTTCTGCCAAACAGCCTCTCGTGAAAGGACCGCCTAATTAACCCTGTGCTAATTAACAATTTAAAATTACACAGAGTGACTGTTCATATTTAATTCTCTGGGAGCTGGAGCAACCGCAGGAGCCCACTCCCCTTCCCCGTAACTGCATCCCCCACCCCAGCTTCCCTGTAACTATTGCGTTTTACCCAGTTCCGTCTCTCTCAAGAAATATGACAAAGCTGTCGTGGTACATCTTTTTAAAGAGGGAGATAGGTGCCTTGGTTAATGGGATGCACAGGGGAACACGGTGGAGTTTTCTCATTTTAAACAATCTTTGAAAAGTAAAGATTGACATTTGCAAAGATGCAGTAGGTTTTACAGGTGGGTCACTCTAATTTGGGGGAGGAAGTGAGGTGGGGGTTTCTTGATGAAAGTGTTGGAACTTTTTTGTAGAAAGATAACCTCTCAAATGGCAGATACAAGTGCTAAGCAGAGAAAGCGAGCGAGAGAGAGTGAGCTCACGCTAGATCACTCCTATATCTTCTCTTTAATATTCTTATTGGAGAGATGTACTCTATTAAAACCCTAATTGAATTCTTAAACGACAAAAACGCATTGAGTACAATATTGGGGATCGTTTAATGGGAATTTGGGGGTGTAACCAGCAAAAGAGAAGCAGATTTCAGGAAGGGTTGAGGGTTGTGTGTTTGTGTGTGAGCTGGCTGGGGTGTGAGTGAAGGACGGTGGAGAGGCACAGAGCCTAGGGGGCCCTGGAGAGAGGCATGGGCTGGCGGGGCTACCTGTGAAAGCGCAGGGACCCTCTGGGTTCCCAGGCTGCCCTCTGTAACTGAAGATCATTGATTTTACGGGAAACTATGTTTACAGACAGAGTGCTGATCGACCTGCCGAGTTGACTTCTGCCTCCTTAAGTAAGAACTACCTTTCTCTTATTGACTGGCTGATAAACAGAGCAGGAGGCGGCAGGCTGGGTAGGAGAGTGGTACATGCCCCGAGGTCCTTGAACTGCATGATTGGGCAGGTTGAAGAGATTTCTTCATCTCTTGGCTCTAGTCTCCTCCTGTCCCTCCCCATCCCTGCACCTTTCAGGGAATTGTGGGGGAGCCTAGGACTGACCTTCCTGGGATACCTAGCAATAGTACCAAGTGCAGATGAGTTGGCAGTCTGGTAAAGACTGGAAGCCAGAGAACATTAATGCAAGCTCCCTGGGGGTGGGGTGAAAATGCAGATTCTGATGGGAGGAGGCAGGAGTCTGCATTTCTCACAAGCTCCCCCACTGAGGACGATGCTGATAGTCCATGAGCCACACTTGGTTTGGCAGGGTAGTGAGAGTCTCTGCTTGTCATGGTCAGTGTGCTTGGAAAGGAAGCCCAGAACAGGCAGCCTGGATGCTGCAGAGGGATCCTCCTTCCTCACCTGAGTCTTAATGGGCCATCGCCCCCTGTGAATGAGTGGGCTCTAGTATCACCACCACGAGGTCTTCTGCCTTTCAGAGGTGGTCACAAGTCATCCTTTCTTGACACCTTCTGCTTTGGAGTAGAAAACAAAGTAAGGGAGTTTTTGAAAGTCCCATCCTCTGAGCTGGATAGTTTGTGAAGGAGGAGGAGGAGGAGGAAGAGCAGAGAGAGAAAAGCCCACCAATTAATTGGTAAACGCTTGCAGGTTTCTGGCCCAGCCCAGGCTGGAGAGGAGATTGGCTTTGCTGTCAATAAACAAGTCCCTGGTGCAGCATCAAAGCTGTTCTCCTTTATCAATCGTGGCCTCCCCTTCCCGCATGTTCCTGTAACTTACCAAGCATTTATGACATTGATTTTACAATCGGGCTGTTAACCCTCCCGCCCCTTCAGGCCTGCCAGCCTTTTTGGCCCGAACTGTCAATCAGATGTCGTCCAGCCAATCAGGAGCAGTCTTACAAAGAGCCTCCTGGATTCTCACCTGTGTCCCGGCTGAGCCTTGTTAGAAAGACCCATTGCATTTGCTGTTTGGTTCAGTTTACTGTAGTCATCTCTGTGTCAGATGATTATGTCTTTTCTAAGGCACATGAAACTTTGTTGTCATGAAGTCTGAGATTATAAAGTGAGAGATGGGGTGTGTGTGTGCATGTGTGTTTTAAACAAATCATAGCACATTCTTCCAAAAAGTTATTTCTCCTGAGATTTCTGGTAAATCTGCCTTCCTCGTCTTTTCCCGAGGGGGAGCTGTTGTCTCACCGTGCAGTCTAGAATCAAGAAATGAAAGAAAGAGAAGATGGGGGTTGTGAGGAGGGAGACCAAACCCAGACAAACCTTCATCCTCTGTGTATGAATGAGATGAAGGTAGAGAAGTGGCCAAGCATCCTCCAGGAAGGAGTAGCAGGGGGAGGGTGGCCGGGGATCTGCAGGCAACAGATCAGGGCTGTGCAAGGAGCTGAATTGCCTGCAGGAGCAGTGCAGGGATGGATTAACATGCCCCTGCAATGGTGTTGCCACAGGAGCAGAGCAGCCGGTGATCTGATGCCTCCCTCCCCAGGGACGTGAGGTCTCAGAGGGCAAATTCAGCTCAGTGGCATTTTGGAGTCGGAAACGGAAAAGCCCCAGGGCTGAAGGACAGCTGCTCGGGTAGCAACTAATAACTAAGAGGCAGGTGTCGAACCGGGGCTCACAGAGCCCAGCTGTCCCCTCGGCGGCTTGCCGCTAAGGTCCTTGATAGCAAAAACCACCAAGCACGTGGTGAATGGGCTCCCTCCAGGCAGGGCAAGCTAGACGCTGTTGGAGGGGGAGTTGGCACTTTGAGAGTCTCACCGATTCTTACTGGAAATATCAAGCTCACAGTTTGCACTTACATATTTTTAGTCTGAAGCCAGCCGAGTCACAAGCGAGGGAGCTCTACTGGTTGGGGTGGAGGAGATGGGAATTTTGGGACCTGTCTTCTCTTGTATTTCTCAGTGGCCAGGGTGGCACTGTACCTGTTTTGAGATTTAGGCCCCCGGTTTTACTGCTTGTAAAATGGGACTGATGCTTCCCAGACCTGGATGTAGCCACTGGCCCTCTAGGGGACTCTGCAGAGGGTGTCTGGGCCTGCACACCTGCCCTCTGAGCCTTGTAGTCCTCAGGCACCTTCTTTGAGCTCCTCAAACTAGAAATGTGGTCCATAAAAGCAACAGCGGCAACTTCTCCTCTGAATCCATGAGCACATCCCAGTTTACATCCTTTTTCTGGGGGCACTGAAGCTTCCTCCTCTTGTCCCTCCCCGGTGTTCCCCTGGCCCAGACAGTGTAGGCGGCCAGGGATGACTTTGTGTTGGCCATCTCTACATGGTAGGGCTGTGGTCCTGCCATCTCTTTGGAGGCTGGAGAGATGACACAGCCCTCTTCCATGGTAGCTTGAAGCTGTGCTGGCAAAGAATGGAAATTCAAGCTGGTCTCCAACAGTGTGAAGTCAAAGAAGAATGCTCCTGATCCCCTTGTCCCAGGTCCCCTGCTCATGCCATGGACCCGGCTGCAAGTCCCACGGGTGCTGCTCGTGCTGGGCGGTGCAGCCGGTGTACCCAGGCCCACCTCCGCTGTGTGTTCTCTGTGTTGTGGGTGCAGACAGAGCCTCTGCGGGTGCTGCATGCGTGCGGGACCTTAGCCTCGGCCCTCCTAACCTCTTTCCTTTCTCTTTCTCTTCCCCCTCTCTCCCTCCTCCCCCCTTGCCTCCGCTCTTCAGGTCCGATCCGTACTGGGTGCAATGAAAGCTCCACGCAGGCCTTACCATGGAAGGCTGTGACTCGCCCGTCGTCTCGGGGAAGGACAATGGGTGCAGTATCCCTCAGCACCAGCAATGGACTGAACTCAACAGCACCCACCTCCCTGACAAACCCAGTAGCATGGAGCAGCCCGCAGGCGAGAGCCACGGGCCCCTGGACGGCCTGAGGGCCCCCTTCAATGAGCGCCTGGCGGAGAGCAGCACCCCGGCCGGGCCCCCCGCCGAGCCGGCCAGCAAGGAGGTCAGCTGCAACGAGTGCGCCGCCTCCTTCGCCAGCCTGCAGACCTACATGGAGCACCACTGCCCCAGCGCGCGCCCCCCGCCGCCCCTGAGAGAGGAGAGTGCCAGCGACAGCAGTGAGGAGGGGGACGAGGAGAGCGACGTGGAGAACCTGGCCGGGGAGATCGTGTACCAGCCCGACGGCTCGGCCTACATTGTGGAGAGCCTGAGCCAGCTGGCCCAGGGCGGGGGCGCCTGCGGCAGTAGCGGCAGTGGCAGCGGGCCCCTCCCTTCGCTCTTCCCCAGCTCGCTCCCCGGGGCGGGGGGCAAGCAAGGGGACCCCTCCCGTGCTGCAGCAGTGTACCCGCAGATCATCAACACGTTCCACATAGCCTCATCCTTCGGGAAATGGTTCGAGGGCCCAGACCAGGCTTTCCCGAATACCTCAGCCCTGGCGGGGCTCAGCCCCGTCCTGCACAGCTTCCGCGTTTTCGACGTGCGACACAAAAGCAACAAGGATTACCTGAACAGCGACGGTTCTGCCAAAAGCTCCTGCGTATCCAAAGATGTTCCCAACAATGTGGACCTGTCCAAATTCGATGGCTTTGTGCTCTATGGCAAGAGGAAGCCCATCCTGATGTGTTTCTTGTGCAAACTCTCCTTCGGGTACGTCCGTTCGTTTGTGACCCACGCGGTGCACGACCATCGAATGACCCTGAGCGAGGACGAGCGGAAAATTCTTAGCAATAAGAACATCTCCGCTATCATCCAAGGGATTGGCAAAGACAAGGAACCCCTTGTAAGTTTTCTGGAACCAAAAAACAAAAACTTTCAACACCCTTTAGTTTCCACAGCTAACCTCATAGGCCCTGGACACAGTTTTTATGGTAAATTTAGTGGCATTCGAATGGAAGGGGAGGAGGCTCTCCCAGCCGGCTCTGCTGCTGGCCCTGAGCAGCCCCAGGCTGGTATCTTGACCCCCAGCACCCTCTTGAACCTTGGCGGGCTCACCAGCTCGGTCCTGAAGACCCCCATTACCTCAGTCCCCCTGGGGCCTCTGGCTTCCAGTCCTACCAAATCCTCAGAGGGCAAGGACTCCGGGGCAGCAGAAGGAGAGAAGCAAGAAGCGGGTGACCCGGATTGCCTCTCCGAGAAAGCAGAGCCGGCCGAGGAGGAGGCAGAAGAGGAGGAGGAGGAAGAAGAGGTGGAGGAGGAAGAGGAGGAGGAGGAGGAAGAAGAGGAAGAAGAGGAGGAGGAGGAGGGTTGCAAAGGACTCTTTCCAAGCGAGCTGGATGACGAACTGGAGGACAGGCCCCCAGAGGAGTCGGGGGCCACAGCAGGTAGTAGCAGCAAAAAGGACCTTGCTCTCTCAAACCAAAGCATTTCTAACTCCCCCTTAATGCCTAACGTGCTCCAGACCCTGTCGAGGGGCACAGCTTCTACTAGTTCTAATTCTGCTTCTTCCTTTGTTGTCTTTGATGGTGCGAACAGGAGGAATCGTTTAAGCTTTAACAGTGAGGGCATCAGGGCCAATGTGGCAGAGGGCGGCAGGAGGCTGGACTTCGCTGACGAAAGTGCCAATAAAGACAATGCCACAGCACCAGAACCAAATGAAAGCACAGAGGGCGACGATGGGGGCTTCGTCCCCCATCACCAGCACGCTGGCTCCCTCTGCGAGCTTGGGGTTGGGGAGTGCCCCTCGGGGAGCGGTGTGGAGTGCCCCAAATGTGACACGGTCCTGGGCTCCTCCCGCTCACTGGGTGGCCACATGACCATGATGCATTCTCGTAACTCGTGTAAGACACTCAAGTGCCCCAAGTGCAACTGGCACTATAAGTACCAGCAGACTCTGGAGGCACACATGAAGGAGAAGCACCCGGAGCCAGGGGGCTCCTGTGTCTACTGCAAAAGTGGGCAGCCCCACCCCCGGTTGGCACGAGGCGAGAGCTACACGTGTGGTTACAAGCCTTTCCGCTGTGAGGTGTGTAACTACTCCACAACTACCAAAGGCAACCTCAGTATTCATATGCAGTCTGACAAGCATCTCAACAACATGCAGAACCTGCAGAACGGAGGGGGGGAGCAGGTCTTCAGCCACACTGCCGGGGCGGCGGCAGCTGCAGCGGCCGCGGCAGCCGCAGCAGCCAATATCAGTAGCTCCTGCGGGGCCCCCTCGCCCACCAAACCAAAAACCAAGCCCACCTGGCGGTGTGAGGTGTGTGATTACGAGACCAACGTGGCTAGGAACCTCCGCATCCACATGACCAGTGAAAAGCACATGCACCCGCCCCAGCCAATATCAGTAGCTCCTGCGGGGCCCCCTCGCCCACCAAACCAAAAACCAAGCCCACCTGGCGGTGTGAGGTGTGTGATTACGAGACCAACGTGGCTAGGAACCTCCGCATCCACATGACCAGTGAAAAGCACATGCACAACATGATGCTCCTGCAGCAAAACATGACCCAGATCCAGCACAACCGCCACCTGGGCCTCAGCAGCCTGCCCTCGGCCGCAGAGGCTGAGCTTTACCAGTACTACCTGGCCCAGAACATGAACCTGCCCAACCTGAAGGTGGACAGCACTGCCCCGGATGCCCAGTTCATGATGAGTGGATTCCAGCTGGACCCCACTGCGCCCATGGCTGCCATGACGCCTGCTCTAGGTGAGGACGACTACGTGTTTGTTTGTTGTAGTGATCCGAGTTTAATCAAGTTTAATCGGGGAAAATGGAGAATAGGCTGAGCTAGTCCTCTTGATTCGGTTGATCTTTATCTTGTTGAGTTGTTTTGTGTAAACTGGAGTGTCTTACAATCAAATGTTTTTTCTCAGGAATCTTTTGAACTCTTTGTGCATATGGAAGATTTTATGCATTCAACAGAGATATGGTTGTATTCTGGCTACATAGGGCCGGGATTAAAATTTAAGTGCTTCCTCTAGTTTTTGGCTTATGGTCAACCTTCCTTTCTGTTCCCATTCTCTTTCTCTTTCTTGATTTGAAAAATCACCATAATCACCCCAAAGTTTGGGCTCCATTAAATATTTATTAAAACTTGATGGAAACTGTAGCTGGGACAGTCATCTCAATGAGAGGAACAGGGACAGTTATCTCAGTAATTTAAATAGGGACAATTATTTCAATAAGAGGGATTCAGAACTGTAGTGTACCTTAGTCACATAACCAAAGGCTGGTTCTCTACTGTGCTGGGAAACACCCAGACGGATTTCTCAAGAGTTCTCCATGTGTTTATGAGGATCTTGATGAAAGAGACATGTTCTTTTTCTTCCTTATTTTGGATGAGTCGGTGCTTAGTGTAGTTGGGAGTTAATTGGGAATTAAATTACCCTAGGGGAACCATAATGAGTGGTGTGATACATAAAAAATGAATAAGTTGTAAAGCTGTCCGTCAAAGAAAGCTAAGTTTTAATATTGGTTACACTGTGGTTAGTGGAGCCTTTGTTGCCATGAGAAGTGACCTGTGCTGTAGAGAAGGTGAGTTGGCCATGTCCAGACACCAAGTCTTACCAATTGGCTTAATTTATCTAGAACAGGACCAAGAGCATAAGATTTGAATGCTGAAAATTGAGTCTTTACATGCAAAGAATCATGACCACTTTGGGGAGAGCTGCTGTAGCAAGAAAACCTACAGATCAGTTTTGTGAGAGCCAGTGTGATGGTTGGGCCGCTCCTGCCCTCTCTTCTTGTGCTTCAGGTGAGGCCCTGCCTGGTCTCCATTCTCTGACCTCACAGCTAATCCCTTGGGACCAGTGGTGATGGCCTGAATTAAATCGTTCCCATTGCTGACGTGGGAATAAATTGTTCTTGGCAACAAAGTGCGAGCAAGTACCTTTTTCCTGGGATGGCTTAGATGAATGTTGGGGTGCCAGAACTCACCAGTTTGCGAGTCTTTTTTTGTGTGGTGTTTTAGTGCTAATTGTTGCTGATGAGCTATATTTCAGAGCATTCAATTTGTTTTTCTTAATGTATTTGACTGTGAATCCTTGATACTTTAATCTTGCTTTCCATTTTGAAATGTTTGCTTGTTGATCATTTATTACCAAATGATTTGAAGATGTTTTTCCAGCTGGTTAATAACGGATGCATAGGGATCAGTCGTCTTATTTGTTCTCGGAATGAACCATGTGCATCAGGGGATGGGCCTCAGTACTCTAAGACTTTTTTTTTTTTAATTAAGCCAGCAGGAATTGGTGTTTTCTAGTCTGGAGACTAAAATTTTGGGAGGCAGGTCTTGGAGGAAATCAAGCATAACGTAGGTAGAATGAAGACAGAAAATGGATAGGTTTGTATTGAGTCAGATTTTTTAATTACCTTGAAAGCAGGTAACTAAGCCTTGAATTGAGAAGTAGAGAAATATTTTGCTTTTACACCAAGTGTCTGTAAAAGCAAAATGTTGGGGCATCGTGTACTGTCCAAGGCATTATGGCAGATGCAAAAGAAACAGAAGAATGAATCCCTGTGTTCCAGACACACACAGAAGATACACACTTTATTTCTTAAAAAGAATAGAGCTTCTCCTTCCAAGAACTTTATCCAGCTCAATCAGAAAGGGCCCTTGAATTACCAGTGTCACCACTTATCTCTGCAAACCCCTGCCTTCCTTGGGCCACAAGAGCTGTTGAGGTGGCGTGAGAGGCACAAATGCTTTATGCTGGAAGCAAAAGTGGGTGTGGGGACTATGGAAAGTGTCCAGAGGACTTCTAATTCGGACTGTATGACCTCCGTAGGTGAAACCAACATATGCAAATGAAAGAGCCATAGCTTTCAGTTCTATCTGCAGCTCTACTAATTTTTTTCCTTACACCATGTATAGGATGGCTGTGGCTGTTATTAGCCATTCCTGGGTTTTGCAGGGGACAAAAGGTTTTTATGAAATACACTCCTGCTTACAGTTATTGTTCTCATGGTTCTTTTGACAGAATCTTTAGTATTATCAAACAGACACACATTCTGGGGATGCTTCCTTTCTGGAGGCCTTTAAGGAGAGGGTTGGGAATCCTTGGTCTAGTGTGGTTGGATTTGCTGCTATTGTAGATAACATGTGAGAATCCTCCCAAATGCTGCCTTCGACTCTAAAGTTTAGCACAGCACCAAGAGAGGAAGGGGCTGCTTATTGGGGCACCTGTGTGTTTCCCAGGTAGCCAGCCAGCCAGCCAGCCACAGGACACCTGCATGAGGTTTAATAGTTCCCCTGCTTCTGTCTTTGATTCTAGAACATGTCTTTAAATCCCTGTGCCTCTCTGAGGATGTGCTTATGGGCAGGCTTACATGCCAGGGCAAGAATTCCCAGTGTTAAGTTTAGGTGTGTGCAGGAGCCAGGGGCTGGGGATGGAGATCCTTTTCCAGGACCATATATCCAGCATGCCTCAGGAATGAGGAGCTGCTAAGTTCTTTCTTAAGGAGACTCCTCTCCTAACTGCCTGTGAATTGAGTAAGGTTCCTTCACTTCTCGGGGGCTGAATTAGTTCCTTCTAGCCTTACAGAAGCCCTGGGTTTGTTTCTCCAAGGTCTTGTTCTCGAAGGGAGCTCTGGGCTGCCCATCATCCTAACTCGTGCCACCACTCCCTGCTCTGTCCTTGGTTTGCATTTCATCTTAAGAGCTTGGAATGGGAAGAGGGACTTATTTTCTCTGCTAGTTCTGAGGACTTCTCATTTTAACTCAGGCATCCAGCAAGTGACAGCTGAATTTCTCTTTAGAGCGATATTGATGTGCTGAGGTTAAATTTAAAAAGTGGGGAAGATTCCATGCTTCAGGTGGTTGGCATCAGAAACAAATATATGTTTGCTCCTTGTTGTACCCTCTGGGTAGTTTCTGCTTTGACTGAACACCAAGGATGTTTACGTAGATGTTGCCTGGCCTTCATCTCCGTTAAGGGATGGAGCTTTTAGACATTTTTTTTTTTTTCTCCTCAGTTTTTCTCTCTTGTCCTAAAAAGAATGTTGTAGTTATGGCTCCTCTCACTAGGGGAGATAGCAAGAGGGATGACAGGCAGAAAGCTTCCTAAGCCTTCTGGAATGTGGGTGCAGATTTCGGTGGCTTGCTACACTGTCCACAGGCGTCAAACGCAGTCGGTCTGCTTAGTAGAGCTTCTACTGATCTTTTCACTTGAGGTGCCTTGTGTAGCATAAATAAGAAAATCATTAAAAAAAATCTTTTCTTTGATGAGCCACTAACTTGGATTCTAATCAGTCATAAAAAATAAAGTAAAATAGCCCAACCACACATAAAAGGTCAAGTTTAAATATCAGTTGGTGGGTGGGGGCAGACCTGGTAGCTCAAGTGTGCATGTGTTCAGGGGAGAGGCAGAAGATAGAAGCCAGTGCTCAGCTTTCTGCGTGACTGTTTGCTTCTTGGTAATGGAGCGAAGGCTGCTCTTTCTAAGTCTTTCTTGTGACATGAACAAGACCTTGCTGTATTAATTTACTGCAGTGAATGTGAGCCCATCCCCAGTTGATGCAAGGCAGTGATGGGGTGGAAAACGAGGAGGGCATCTTTCTCAGACTCTTTTCTGGGAACCAGGAGATGACCTTTGCATTTCAGTGCCCATCTTGATTTACTTCCCGAATGAGTTACGTTATGGCTCTTTTTCACCCTTGTCTGGCTGAGCAAACATTTGGGCGTGTGTGCAGTGGGCTGGGGATAAGACTGGACCCCCGCCCTAGAGAGGCCGTACCCTGATAGGGATGCTAGCTATGGTGCGGCTCTGAATGTGTTGACTATGACAATGAGAATGTGCTGTGTCCTATAGCAGACCTACGGTTCACACAGTGCAGAAGCTGGAAAAGGGAAGAGATTGTCCGATCAGGGAGACTTGGAGAGGTTGGCAGCATTGACGGACAGGTAGGATATTGACTGGAAGGCTGTGGTGAGGCCTAGAGAGATTCCTGAAATCTTTCATACAGCTGCTCTGTCCACCTCAGGCACCCCCCCCACACACACCTGGCTAACTAAATTAAAATTAAAAATTCAGTTCCTCGGTTGTAGTAGCCATATCTCCAGTGCAGCTGTAGACCATGTCCATCATTGCAGAAAGCTTAGTTGGTCAACCCTGCTTTAGATAAATTCTGGGTCCAATTCTGATTTGTCATAAATGCTTGGTATCTCACTGTGCAGCTATAACACATTTCCATTTTGGGGGGTCTGGAGTTTCAGATTCTGTTACATCCAGCTAATGATACTTATTTCTGTTTTTCTTGGATCTGAGGGAGGGAATGAATTAGAATATCCAAGAGGTTATGGTTCCTAACTTTTTCTAGGTGTTCTTTTCCTAAAGAAGGCAAACATAAGGCCTTCCACAAATCTCAGCGTGTCTGTAGAAAAGATCCAAACACATCATGTTGACTGGTGTTTTGTTGTTGTTTTTTCCCAGCAAGTAGCACCTTGCAACATTTGTAATAATGCAATCTTTTTCTCCCGGGACCCTGGTTGAGGGTGGCAGAGGGCTGGGTTGTGCCTCCGCGGGGGCCACGGTTTGAGCCTGGCCTCTTTGACTCTCTTCCTCTCTCCTCTGCAGTGGGCGGTGAGATCCCCCTCGACATGCGGCTTGGGGGTGGGCAGCTGGTGTCCGAAGAGCTGATGAACCTGGGCGAGAGCTTCATCCAGACCAATGACCCGTCGCTGAAGCTTTTCCAGTGCGCCGTCTGCAACAAGTTCACAACGGACAACCTGGACATGCTAGGACTGCACATGAATGTGGAACGCAGCCTCTCGGAGGACGAGTGGAAGGCGGTGATGGGGGACTCATACCAGTGCAAGCTCTGCCGCTACAACACGCAGCTCAAGGCCAACTTCCAGCTGCACTGCAAGACAGACAAGCATGTGCAGAAGTACCAGCTGGTGGCCCACATCAAGGAGGGTGGCAAGGCCAACGAGTGGAGGCTCAAGTGTGTGGCCATCGGCAACCCTGTGCACCTCAAGTGCAATGCCTGTGACTACTACACCAACAGCCTGGAGAAGCTGCGGCTGCACACGGTCAACTCCAGGCATGAGGCCAGCCTGAAGCTCTACAAGGTAAGAGCCCGCTCCCCGGGGCCCAGGCTGTCTCTCCAGAAGGAGCGTGTGGGGTCCCCGGGAGATGGGGCAGGGCTGGGAAGGAGCTACACAGTCCCTGGTGTGGCTGGGCTGGATGCTGGATGTGACCTGGCATGGGGAGGGGAGTTGGCACCTGCTTCCTCATGAGGCAGAAATGTGGCAACGGGCTCCAGCTGGTAGCTGAAGGTTCTCTTTCTCGGGTGCCCCATTTCAGGGTCAGGTTTTGTTTACAGCAGCCTGATACCATCTTTACGGGTGGCTTCTTCCTCACTTGCCATTAGCTTTTATATGCCCTCATGCACCTTTGTTCTCCATCTCTCTTTGAGTCTTTCTGTTCTCCTTTTCCATTTCTTTATTCCTGTTTTCTTCTGCTTCTCTCCTGGATGCCCCTGGGATGGTTCATTCATTCATTCATCCAGCCACATGATGTACGTTGAGCACCTTCTGTTCTGGGCATGTAGGTACCAGTGTATAAAATAAACAAAAAAATCCCTGCCCTCATAGGGCTTCCATTCTTTTGGGGGAGATAAACGCAATGAATAAATTATGTAATAGGCTAGAAGGTGGTAAATGCTATGTCAGGGGGCTCCTTTGTTAATTTTTTTCTCTTCTTGTGTTCTGTGTCCCCTTTCTCTTCCCTATACTGATCATTTTCTTCCTATTTCTGGGTTTCTCCCATCCTCTTCCTCCTCTTGCCCTCCCTCTCTCCCTCCCTTCCTTCTCTTTCCAATGCTCACTCCCTTCCCAGCCCCCACCCCCACCCCAAGTCCTTCTCTCAACTCTGTAGACGGTAAGGAGGAGGAGGTGCTTCGGATACTGTAAATAGTCCTTTCACTTGCACAGCAGAATCGCTCCAGACGTTTCTATTGATTTTCACTGGACTTAAAGCCTCACCTTTTTCTCTAATCATCCCATAATGGCTTTAGTATGAACAATCAGGTACAAATCGCCATAAATCTGCCCAGCCTCATTCCACGTACCTTCCACTCCCTTGCTCTCTCTTCCATTTTCCCCACTTGTGCGATTGGTCTCTCCTCTTTCCTTTCACACCTTTTCTCAAGTCTTTGGGCCCACGGGTGTTTGATTTCTGCCAACCCTGAGTTAGTTTAATTCCCTTTCTGCTCATCGTGATTTTAAATGGAGATTCCAAATAAGGAAGACTTTGGATCCTTTCCCTGTATTGGTCTCTGCTGAGATTGATAACTGTAATTTGTTTTATGATTGCTGCTTCTCAGGGTGGCGGGAGGTCTGCGTAATGTACATGAGAAACCATTTTAGGGAAAGGAGGAGGAAGCAGAAATGAGGTGCTGGACTAGAATGTTCTGGAACTGTCTGTGGACTGCAGCTATGGTGCATTGGGGAAGGTGTGGACACCACACAGCCAACCCTCTTATCTCAAATGTGCAAGAACCTCACCGGACTGCCTTAGTTTTGTGCCACCTTTGAAAGAAAAGGCTCTTTGCAGTCAGTTTAAATTGGAGGTCTGAACTGGCTACGGGATGGTGCCCACGTGGTCAAGAAAACTTAATGGAAAAACCAGTGAGAAAAAGAATTCCCAAAGAACCCAACTGAGTTAGATTTGTACAAAGGACTCAGCATGGCCATTAAAAGTTGTATGCAACTTTGATGGAGGTCGTTTGGAGGTGGCACAAAGCTGGCCACTTCCATTCTGAGGCAAGAAATTGCCCTTTAGATTATAAAATGCACACAGTTGGTGATTAACTCTCCACGTTGCGTCCTCCATGTGGCCAGAGTCTTGAATAAGAGTGTATCTGGCTCTTGGCTTTGCTTTATAAAGGGCCTGGAGGATTTGCTGAGAATATCCCTTTTTGGTTTCCAAACCTCATCCATGGATCATACTTGGAGACTTAGGGTGAGTCCTTTTCCAGGGTGGATGTGAAGGAAGCAATTTATTTGTATTTTTCTCCATTCCTAGCTCTGGTCACTTATCCTCCTGGGCCTTAATTTTTTCATCTTTTTTTTTTAGATCTGGAGGAAACTCCTATTCAGAAAAGGAGGTGCAGGTAGAAGGGTTGTAAGTATCAGCATGCAGGGTAGAACGTGGGAACCAGCGCCTGAAGGAGGAGTGCCAAAATAACGCATCTGGCTGGCACATCCCTGGGAGTGACCAGCCTCTGAGATTCAGGGTAGAATTCCCTGCGTCAGGAGCCAAAGGTCATTAGTCTGGTCTCATTAGTCCTTGGGTAATGAATGTCCCTCTGCTTGCTGAGGCTCTGTTTCAGGGGGCGGGCACTCTCCCACCCACTCCCAGATGACACAGACAGGATTGTCATTCCAGTGCCTGCCCCAAGCCCTTCTGTCCCTTCTGACTAAGATAAACCTCTCTTGCCACTTAGGGGGCTCCCTCTCATAAGGTTTCATCAGTCCGTGGATTTGGGGTGGGGATTGTAGGTGGTTCAAGAGTTACTTTTTCTCTAGGCCCTGGTGTGGCCTATAGTAAATGGAGATTGATTGCATGTTATTTTTCCTCTTGCTAATGTAATCCATTAGCCGGGCACATGCATAATCAGTTTAGAGCACAGTTAACTGGATGTAATCGAGTTCTTTACTGTCTGCTAGAGAAACCGCTCTATGGGCAGCTGACCCAGGGAGGGCACCAGGCTTCTCACACACAGCCATCCTTACTCACCCTCCTCCCCACCTCCCACCCCACCCTGTCCCCCATTCGCTGGCAAATTATTCATGACCGGTCAGGGAGACTCCCTGAGGTTGCTTTCTGCTGCATCTATTTAAGTGGCCGTGCTGTGTCTGGCTTGCTAGTGGGTCTCCCACCCTTCTCCTTCAGCTGAGGTTTTGGTTCCCCTCCTCTTCCTTTCCTGTGTTGGACGAGGCTGAGCCGCGGTCACAGGAGATGCAAGCAGTGGCCTAGCTTTCCGGTTTGTCGTTGTGACCTCACACTGATCCAGAGTCACCGCCCTTGATGTCATAAATGCTAGTATATGCATTGCTGTGTGAGGACTGAACTTTCTGAAAGTGTGAGATAATTTCTAATCTGGACACAAGAGGGTTAGGCTGATCTGCAAAAACCTGGTAATGTTATCTCCATCGCCTGGAATTGTCTAGTTCTGATGATTGCATGATACCAGTTTTTAAATCAGGATTAATGTTCAACGTATTCTTCCTCCCCACCTCCTGCAAGTAGAGGAGGGGAATGCTAGAGAGCCCAAGCCGCAGATAGAAGTTGTTTCCTTTTCTCTGAGCCCCCAGGTTACTTTTTGCAAGGTGCTCATGACTGAATTCCTTGGGTATAGTTTTGGTCTTACTCAGTGGCCAGCTCTGGTCCAGCCCCTCGTGGTCATGTGTCCATGTCCTAACCCCTGCCACTATGGGGTCAGTGTGATGGGTTGACACAGAGGGAAGGTCAGAGGCTCCTATGGGGCTTGGACGCTGAGCTCTTGGTTTCTCTTCTTTGTGATTCACCTGAGCCAGAAGAGAAGTGTGTTGTGGAAAAAGGTTCTTGTCTCTCATCGGGGCTGAGCTCTTAAGACCTTAATTCCATACTTTTCTGCTTTCACATATAAGTGTATCATCTGCACCCTGGTCCCACTCTCCCACCCCCTCCACTCACAAAGATGTGGGTGTCCTTGATCATCTTAGTTAGGGAGTGGCTGGTACAGACGGACACCTGCCCTCTGTTCTCTCCTATGCTGGCTTAGACCCTGAGCCCTCGGTGTGCGGGTTCACAGGGAGTGCGAGCTCTTCTGTGTTTATCTTGCCTTCCCGGCTAGGTGGCGTCAACGGTGACCTCCCTGAAATCTGTAGTATTTTCTATTTGGGGGAGGAGGGGTGCAGAAAGGCAGTCGGAAATCAGTGCACACCTGCCACCTATCAGAATCTGGTTTCCCCTTTGATGTTTTTCTTCACCTGAGAGTCATTGGGATGGAAATCCATCAACTTGAGCAGATAGATTAAGATCCCACCAGAATCTATTACTCATACAGTTCCCAGCTGAGGTTCTTTTGATTGGGCCAAGACCAAAGATTTCCTATTAATCTTAAATTATACCCAGAGAAGGTGCCTACCACCGTGCTGGGTCTGGGCCACATGTGAGCTGCCTGGGGCTGGCTAGGCCTACAGGAAAGGAGAAGCCGGTGCCTAAGCCAGTTCTACTCGGCTTAAGGTAGGAGATGGAGCGTGGCATTGGTTTATTAAAATACACATGCACACAGCCATGTTTTCCACATAGTGGACTTTTAATCTTGCCATCCTGAGGACTATGCAGTGTGGAATGGAAGACGGTAAGAAGCCTCCGTCGGCTGCATTACTTCAGAGTCCGTCTTCTCAGCTCTGTTCCTTGATGCATAAGAAACTGGTTGGGGCTCACTCTCCCAGCAGGGCTATAAAACCATATGACGGGTGGACAAATCAGATGATGTAGAAAAAGTCAGACAAAAATTTGGTTTGAAATCTGCATTCTTTGTGCTCCTTTATGGGTGCACTGGGGGGAGCGGGGGTCTTAGGAAGACAGCTGCACACTTAATCCCATAGGTGGTGACTGGCGGCCTTTGTCCTGCCCTGAGAGCCGAAAGCATAAATCCTTTGGGGAGTTTTTCCTCTCTCCCGTCCTCTCCACCCCAGCGTGGCTACGTGTTTGGAGCACTTGTGCAAGTGTCATCTGGTTTGCATCGTGATTCTGGAAGCAGTTTCCTCCAGCCTTGTTTTCTCATTAGGTAGACTATTTTTTTGTTTTAAGTGCATACTTCTGCCCCCTTCTCCTCTACTTTGGTGCCTTCTACCAAAAAATGAAAGGAGAGGAATGTTTTCCTGTAAGTGATTTAGAAGGTGTGAAAGGCCAGATGTTTTGGTAAATTTTAGCACATTTAGCCTTGGTGTCCTCCTTCTCGAGCAGCTGGGAGTCTCAAGTTCATTTCCTTCACTTGGTGGCTGGGGTTGGCCGGATGGGGGGGCTCTTCAGCTGGGTTGGGAGACTGCATGTGGGCCTGGTGGGTCCTCGCCAG